TTTAAATGTGTCATGATTTAATTATTATTGTACTTCCGCATTACTCTGAAAATATTTTTAAACGGGTCGCGATCCAGAGTCTGTAAATTTAATATTTATAAGTAATTGTCATTTTCAAATGTCAAGCGAAATTTTTATTTAACTCTCGTTTCACCTTATTTCGTGTAATTCCGGGTTATACGGATTGGGGTGTTACATTTTGGTATCAGAGCAAAACGATTTTCGGATCATTGAGTCAGTATTTTCAAAGTCCTGCATCCGCATCCTCCGCGACATCTCTGCCCCGGGAAAGTAATCAACAAGTAAGTTATTATGACATAACACACGTACTTAACTTATTGAAAACTTGCTTCCTTTGAGTTGCTAGTATCCTCATAGACTCGATTACAATAATGTTTAGATTGCCTCGAAATGTTATTCGAGGATCACAGTCGACATCAGAAGATCAAGAAGAGGGACTGTAAACCCGATAAGCGCGACATATACGTATGTCATAGTACGCAAATGGCTAAGTGAACGATGTGAATCAACTTCTGTCAAGCCGAAGAATACGTTGAAGAAAGAACTTTCTCCGATAGAAAGTGAACAAATTCTCCAAAAGTGAATCTGTCGTTTTCTAAGAGCACGAATAGAACCTCACAAACCAGATCGAATACGACATATGTATCGAATCTGAAACGCATTATAGGGGTGAATCTACATACAAACATTAAGATAATTGACTCGTTCGTATACCCTATTGACGCGAAAAGTCGCAACAAGATGACAGTACAAAACAAGATGTGAAACAGTCACACCAACAGTGAAAGACTGGAAGATAAAGAAAAGGATTAATATTTACATGATACATTTTGATGTTGGAAAATAAATATTATTCTGAAATGCACTGGCCATGCAGCTTAGAACGATATTTGTGACTAACGCATAATGTACATGGACAATATTATTTCAACTTGGAAATATTACAAATGCAACTCTAAGTCTAACCTTCCAGGATTTGCAAACTCTTCATAACTAGCACCAGGACCTGGGAAAGCCATAGCAAACTCTAGCTTGTCCAAAAGTTCATCAACAAAGAAAGAAGAAATGAACAGTTTCCTCTGATTCAAAGCCATGAAGTTCTGCCTCACCGCATCATCTAGAAACTTGATTAGGTTATTGAAATAACCGTCAATGTTTAAGAGACCAATAGGTCTGCTGTGCAACCCTTCAGATGCCCATGAGATTAAGGTGAACAAACCTTCGATAGTGTCAATCCCTCGAGGAAGTACAATGAAGGCTTCCACAATATGATTCATCTCGAAATACTTATAGTAATTGCTGGAGACGGTGTACTCTGCACCATATATTGGTCCATAGACCCCTCGTGTTGCTATATACCCTGGTATGAAACCTCTGACTCTACCACCATTATTATAGACCGTTGAAGCTACAGCTCCTTAAAGGCCAACGTTGCCTCCTCCGTAGGTAAGCCTGATTTTTCGCCTTACCAATTCACGTCCTAGATCAACCGCTGTAGCCATGAACCTTGGATTTCTACCAAGAGCATGACTACCAAGTAGACCAACGAATCTTATGTTATTAGAAAGAGCTTGAGAAGTTCCTTCCATAATGTGAGAATGTGAGACGCTCTTGCCACAATTTGATATATATAGACTCTGAAACTGGACCATTGATGGAAAAGTAATTATCACCAGCCTAAAAACGTACAGGAAAGTGGATTCGCTCCAGACAAGAATGTACTCGCCAATACTACAGTCTGCTGACGACATGACATATTGAGACTCATGAATAGTTAGGCTCGTTGTCCTAAAATACATTCAAATCCGAGACGAAAAGTCAAAATGACTACTTCCCTAGAGAATGACTCTTTGAGTAATTTCCAAAGGGCGAAACATTGAGTGGTAATTCGCAAATGTTATCTTTGTATCTTGTGACTCGCATCCTTGAAATACTAAAACTTACTGTGTTAATTACACACTTGAAGCATCTCACTTGATCAATCTTGAAAAGATTGAATTCCATATTTTTTTTATGTCAAATCTTTGAGAACTTGTTTTAACTCATGATTCTCCATCAAACCAAAAAGATGTTTTATGATACCGATCTTCAAAAACCATACTCTGTAACGGTTGATGCGATTACGTTATCGATGAAGATTATTATCAATGATGATCAGGAAACTCTGCTTTGACCCTAACAAAGGAATATATGTGCAACAACTAGAAAGGAAAAGTTGTCATTTGTGTGGTGAATATGACCACACTGAAGGTAAATGTGATCTCCACTTAAGTCAATTGGGCGGACCACCAAGAGAAACCACGCATGTGTCTATAGAATCCCAAACATTAGTGATGAATATTAGTGATAAGTAATTTAACTATTGTGTGATGAATATTAGTGATATGACAAATACACTAATATTATAATTTTCGAGCACGAAGCTCTATCATAATTATTGAGAAAGTTGGAAATTCCAAGGCAATTCTGGAATCATCAATCAGAAAAATCAGTATTCAAGAATGACTACATATCATATTGATAATACAAACAGTGACAAAATAACAAGTGTTATCCAATACGTTCATCCAATCATTACAATGTGATAAAAACATATATTATTGTTATACATAAGTGTGATATATGTGTTAACTGTTACAAAAAAGCTTTAATCAGATTGTTGACATTACGTTAGTCAGAATAACTCCATTAAGGATCGCTAATGAGAGTTCAAGTTTTGAAAGTATAATTTCGTATTCATCTAAGAAACCTAGAATGACGACTATGGTAATAGTCATTCCCCAAAATACTGTTATGTAAAAATGTCAAACCTAAAAACAATCCATTCCAGCTTGTAAACCACAAAGCATACATTGTGAAACCAACATTCCAGGCAAAGTCGTCTGAGAATGACTCTAGAAGAATTGCAAAAGGGAAATTTTGTAAATTACCCCACATTCACGAAACGCAACCTATATAAGAACTTCTGGAAACTCCTACACCACGACAAGAGCAAGTCTAAGAATATATTCGACGCAAGTCTTCATGAAAGAAATCTAAACACGTTACATCTATCATCCGCATATATCCTTTCTCAAAAGAGAAAATGTCATACTCATGACACTCAACAAAAGAAAGAGAAAACAAATTCTCAAAATTAGTGTTTTACAAAAACAATGGAAATTCATGATTTTGTACATCATCATTTTAAATGACTTCGCCTAAGGAAATTTCGGGGACGAAATTTCTTTAAGGGGGAAAGAAATGTAACGCCACAAAATATGGCCTAAAATTTATTATAAAACAAAAATAGTTTTTATCCAATAAGGAATATTTGTACGTTTGACTAAAAATAAATGGATTTTCCAAATAAAGACTTTTTGTTAAAAACTTGTTTTTATGGATATGTCTCGAGGAGACGAATCCAACAGAACATTTTATGAATCAATCCGATTTATATGTTTCAAGCTATGACGATTTTAAATATTAAAATTTGTAACTTTGACCCATAAAATAAACTCAATTCAAAAGTGATTTCATAAGATTAGAAATATTAATCTTGGACACTTGACAACACCATATTTATCATTTGGATTTAATCCATATATTTATATCCCATTCATATTATTAAATTGATTTATGACTGAGACAGACCTGAACACTGAGAAAAATAAAAGTTCTCAGAAAAATATTTCGATTACATCAAAATTCTAGTTTTGACAGTCTGATTCCAAAAACACAATCCGTTTTCAATTTGGAACAATTTGGGCGAAAAGGCGCGTACCGTTTGGAATAAACTGTTCAGTTTTGGCAAAAAGCCAAAACT